GCATATAGATTTTTCTTTACTTTTTCCACGTACATTATTTGTGAGCAAATGGAAAAGGGAGAAAATGATTACTTTAGAAATGTTACGTATCTACCTTTCATTATTTGAAGTTATTTAGTAAGGCTACTGTTCTTGACGTGAACAATGTTCAAGTCACTTGCATATTATAATCCAATGCTCGCTGGAAAGTTACATAAATCATAGGTCAAAGGATAATAACTAAAACTATGAGAGATACCATAAAGCTTTAAGACATATATAAAGAGTAAGGATCTTATCTTAAGAGTAGAGTGTTGTCAAAAACAAAAACAACATTCATACTTTAATACTTTTATTCATAATGAAATAAAAGTGAATGAAATAACACTTTTTATTATTGAATTTAAGTAATACATATATTTAAAAGACTTAACTCCGACACAATCTAATAATATCGACTGCAAAACTTATTACGACAAAACATGTTATTTGGACAATCTTCATGGGTCACACATGGTATTCTTCAAGTGATACAATTAAAAAAATAATATATTGTTAACAAAAGTACAAAGCCCAAAAACTAATATGGAATATAAGAGATCTTACTCACCGCGCATAAGAATTAAGAAGGAAAATAAGATAACCATATCATAAAGTAACTTGAGAGTTTTAGCCATATTTTTCTCCATCTCTATGTCATCCAAATATTGCTTTTGTCAATTTATAGTGCAAGGAAGAATCATTCTTATTTACATTATGTGAATTGGTCTGTAGGAGTTATTGATTTTAAAGGGACCCCCACTAAAATTAAAACCATTAGTGTGTGTCTTTTTGATACATTAAAATTTTGTATTGGTCTCTTTAACACCCTTAAAGTATCTCTCGATTTGAGGGTCACACACAAAAATCTACCTTATTATATATGGGAGAGGTTCACTTACTCTATGAGTTTTTTAAACTTACTTCACATCTTAGCCATCAATTCTAGGAAAATCCAATGGTTTGAATTAGTGAGTAGATCTAAATCATTATATCTATCTAGAATTGATGTTAAGTTGTGGAGTAAGTTTAAAAAATTTACTAAGAGTAAATGAATCTCTCATCATTATATATAACATTTATTTTATTTTACTTGTCTTTCTTTCTTTCTTTTATTTTCCGTGATACAAAGGGGGCAAAAGCTTAAAACTAGCAATGCATTAATATTTGCTAAGTTATTTGTAGGAATGATAATCATACGATGTACCAACTTATTTTATGCATAAATAATCAGCATATATAATATCCAAGTTAATTTAAAACAAATACGGGGACAAGTGATTTATTTGGAAGAGAAAAAGATATATACATTGACCGTGTAAGAATTTTTTAGAATGTTACTTCATCATCCACCATCCATTTTTAATTATTATTAACTCTTAAATCTATACTATATATAAAGCCAAAACATGAAATAACTAACACCATGATATAATTTCTATTTTCCTATTTTGTCCTTACATTTTTGTAATTTTTAGAATAAAACCATATAATCCTAAGTAACTACCATTAGCACATTAGCCATATATATCACCTTAAATTAAATTATAATAAATACATTTTTAACATAAAGTACTCTTAATAAAAAAACATTTTAATTGTATAAAATAAAATATATAAAAATTGAATATTTAATACAATAAAATATGAATGCGGGTCAGCAGACACAAAGTATCTGTCGACACGCTGGTAAAAATAATATAAATGATTGATTGCTGATGTACTAATTGTTTATAAATCTTTAAAAATATATTAATTAAACTATGTTTGGAATTTGTATTCACGAGAATAGTGAGAATGAATATAAAGAATTATACACATGCATGCATTAAACATATCATTCACTATTCATCATTTGTATTACTTTTATTTAATAGTAAATAATAATACAAATAATGAATGATAAATGATATAATAACAATATAATAATCATATTCATCATTTTCTCTTCAACCTAGATCGTTGTTACTTGTTGGTGCTACTTTCTGTAATGGAATATTCTCATATGAATCTAGATGGGCATGTAGATATGTAAACATCCTTTATGTAGATTTTTTTTTGGTAATTATAGGTTATCATGTCGATGAACCACAAGGCAAGGTTTATAGCAATTTAGATAACTTGGCTAATAATATATGAAATGTGAATAGGAAAATAATATGTGGATCATGTTGATAAGTTATTTATTAGTTATCAACATTACATTGAAAAAAATATGAAAAATAAGGCGTTATTAGTCTCACAACAATTTATATGGTACATATTAAATTAAATATTACTAATGTCATTTTTTATAATGTCTCCTAAAATTAACTCCGTAGAAATATGAGGCACTAAATGTAAAAGTTTGTGCTTGAGTCCAAAAAACTGCCCTTCACCATCCCTATTAAAAATCTTTTTGCAAAATATATTACTTCAATAGTGACAGCAAATATTTATTAAAATGATTTCTCTTTTGCATCTTTATAAGTAGGGGTGTAAGCGTTTCCAGTTTAAATTGCGAAACCGTGGAACTGAACCAAAACACAAAATGTGGTTCGACTTTGCGTTCGATCAATTATTTTTTAAGGAACGATTAATGTTCGGTTCGGTTAACTTGGTTTTAGATATTTAGGAACCATTGGAACTGAACCGAACCACATATTAAAGAAATAAATATTAGGGAATGAGGTTGTATTGTTATTTAAATTGTTCAACCAATTTTGTGCCTTAAATTATGTGAATTATAATGTTATATATATGTTACTATATTGTTATTATGATACTACCATATATGTTATTACTTAGTAAATTGTTTCCTTGTATTTTGATGATTTGGGACATATCTTCTAATTGTTATGATTCTCAGTTTTAAACTAACATACACACGGTATATTGTCATATATGTTACTAATTATGAATTGTAATGTTATATATTTTATATTTGACTAATTGATGTATATATATTACTAAATTACTGTGGATTGTATTATTATATATGTGGTCATTCACTTTTTTCTTAAATTACATAATTGTTTTATATGTTACTAATAAGCAACTATGAATTTTAATATTTTTATTCATCTATGCATGATTCATATTTTCTCATAACAATAGTAGCGTTTTTCGTTTTATATATAAACAATGTATCTTGTAATACATTTTGAACTTTTAATTGATGCAAGATTAAAAAAAATTAAATAGGAAAACCAAGGAACCAAATCAGACCATTCATTAGCAGTTCGGTTCCTATAGTAAATTTTATGATTAATTGAGGCGAACCGAACCATACAACATTTATGATTGGTTCGGTCACAGAAATAGGCTAAAAACGGAACCCAATTTTAACACTCCTATTTATAACCTTTTAGAACTAGCCAGATAGCAATTATTTAAAGAATGTTTAACTTAAATAAAAGTAATATTGATATTCTAGATTTAGTTTAAAGCAATGTTATTAAAACCGTACCGGTTATCAAACCGGTCAGGGTACTGGTATAGTGGTACAGTAGTTCAACTAGTGGTTCAGTAATTAAACCACATGCCGGTTAAACCGGACATACTTGCTTATATATATGTAAACCTATAATAAAAAAATTTCAAATAAGTAGGTATTCAGATTTATAATTCATATTCATAATCTACTCCAAATTCACACAAACAAACAACATTAGGTCTTTAACAAAATCAAAGTCTAAAGTGCAAAACATATATTAATCCAAAATTATCACTTAACAAACGCAAAATACAAATAAATGACACAAATATCAATCATTGAAATTGAAGAATTGGTGAAGAATTGAAAATTTGAAATTTAAAAAAAAATTAATGTACAAACCGACCGGTTTAAACCGGTTCACTGGTTTTCACCGGTTCTATTGCATATGCGGTATAACACACGTACCGTACCGGTTAGGGGTCCGGTTCACCGGTTTTCCAGTTGAACCGACCGGTACGATACGGTTTTTACAACATTGATTTAAAGTGAGTAAATAAAACCGTGTCGAAATTTTTTTTTTCCTTCAATGTTCATGTGTAACTCCTTATACATATGGTATAATTTTTCCTTCAATGTTCATGAGTAACAATTTTATTAAAAAAAAAAATGTATACTCTGACGATGTAAGAAATTTATATATTATTAATATATCATAATATAAGATCACAAATATTGCGATGGAATTAAAAAACTGAGCCATGTTGGTGTACTTGGCAGTAACCTCCAGTGGACACAAGAGAACATTAAGGGGCCTTCACTTTCTCCACCACTAATATTATATAATTACCATGTTTTGTTTCCATCTACCCACCCCTAATATACTAAGTGTTTGACATTCCATTCCATGTGTTCAAGGGAATTTAGAGATGGGCAATGTAATGTGCATCATGGAAAACATTACCATTCAAATTCTTTACACCAAGAAACTGGAATAGACCTATTGTAATATCTTTATTATTTGTGTAAGTTGGATTTTATAGTATTTTAATTTGGGGAGTCATATCTGTATCTAAAATTAAACTACTCCTATGTTTGTTATAAAGTTAGTTGCCTAAACTATTTTGTCAAATCTAAAATTAGATAAGTCATTCCATTACGTTTTAATTTTCCATCATCTTATTATTACTTATATCTGTCAAAATATTTTTAAAACATTGAAAAAAAATAGTAAACACAATTCAACCATCCCTTATATTATCTCATAATATTTCATATATATTGTTCTCGATTAATAATACTCATCATTATATAATTCTTAGTGTTTTATATGACAACCTACCTTATAATTATATTGTGTCTTTCAAATAAATGAACTCTACATATAAGCAAACATAAAAAAGTAACACTATCCTCCTATTCAGTTGTCATATATAAATAAATAATATTGTTAACTGAAACTTATTTTTATTAATTGAGCACTTCCAATGGCTCTCAAACATAAAAGCATATATAAAATTTTCTTGACCTTTTTACACACATTACTCACGAGCAAATGGAAAAAGGGGAGAAAATGACTACTTAAGAAATATTACATAACCTGCCTTTCATAAATTGAACTAGGTAATTAAAATTATTTAGTAAGACTATTATTCTCAATATATCTGAGACATGAACAAAGTTCAAGTCACTTGCATAGTATAATCCAATGCTCTTTGAAATGCATTACTGCTGCACCGACTAAAAAAATTGACACCAATTTCGACGACAAACCTGATGAATTGGACAATCAGCATTGGTCAGACATGGTATTTGCTCTGTGATACAATTCAAAAATGAAATATTGTTACCAAAAGGTTAAAGCACATAAACTAGAATAGAGGATAATAAATCTTACTCACCGATAATCATAAGAATAAAGAGGAAAAAGAAGAGAGCCATATCATAAAATAACTTGAAAGTTTTAGCCATATTTTTCTTTATCTCTATGTCATCCAAAAATTATTATGTCGATTTATAGTGCAAGGAAAATTCATTCTCTATTTACATTAAGTGAATTGATTTGTCAGGCTTATTTAATTTAAAACCACCCGAACTAATATTAAAATCATTAGTGTGTCTTTTGGATACGTTAAATTGTTGTATTTTTTCCTTTAACACACTTAAATTTTCTCTTGCTATAGCAAGGGTCATGCATAAAAAATCAAGCTTATCATATATAACCTTTATTTCTTTTTACTTGTCTTTCTTTCTTCTTTTTATTTTTGTATTTTTTTTCTATGATAGAAAGGGGCAAAAGCTTAACACTAAAGAAATGTAAATATTTGCTAAGCTATTTGTAGGAATGATAATCATATTATGTGCCAACTTATTCTATGCATAAATAGAAAGCATGTGTAGGATCCAAATTAATTTAAAACAAATATGGGGATGGTTGTTAATTTGGCATTTGCTTTCATGGTTCTTTAATGATTTTTATTGGTTAGCTTTTATTAGAAAGAGTAATATTTGGTATTAATTATATTTTCCATGTACTTCATTTTAATTAGTTCTTTTTTGTTGTAAAATTTAATTTTTGCAAGCTATGTAGATTATATAAGATTGTTATAAACAGAGTCGCCTAGGAAGAAAGTAAAAAAAAATTATATGCCCAAAAAAATTGTTTCGTATATTTATAGTGCAAAGAAAAGCCATTCTCCACTTACATTAAGTGAATTGATTTGTAGGAGTTATTGAGTTTTAAGCTAACCCCAACTCATATTAAAATCATTATTGTATGTCTTTTGGATACATTCGAATTTTATTTTTGTCCCTTTAACACACTCAAATTATTTCTTGATTCCATCCAGGGCCACATAAAAAATCTACCTTATCATATATAAACTTTATTTTGTTTTACTAGTCCTTAAAAACTCATTTCACTACCTTATATTTTTTTGACTTTATAAGTTTGGCTTCTCTAAAATTGGAAACTTTACTTAAAATAATCCAAAAATTTCAAATGTGAGTCAAATCCTAATATTAACTAATTTGACTAATATTTAAAAAATTTGGAACTATTTTGAGTTTTTCAATTTTTGAAGAATCAGTCTGATACAGTTAAAAAACATGAAGAACTGAAATAAATATTTAATATTCTTATTTTTTGTCTCATTAAAGATAAAGAAATGTATTAATATTTTTATTTTGTAAGAATGATAATCATAGGATGAACCAACTTAGATATTCTATGCATATATATATATATATATAAATAAATAAAGCATTTGTGTGATCCAACAAGATAGTTTAAAACAAATATGGGGATAGGTGATTTATATGTCTTTTGCATTCATCCCTAATTAATGATTTTTAGTGGTTAGCTTTTAACAAAAAGAGTAATATTCGGTATTAATTATATTTTTCATGTACTTGATTTTAATTATTCCATTTTTGATGTAAAATTTAAGTTTTGAGCTATTGGAATTGTATAAGATTGTTAAAAAAAATTGAAATATGAAGAAATTAAAGAAATAATTTTTTTTATGATTTAAAAATAAAAGTAACTTAGACTTCGATTTGAAGAAATATTAAATGAGGTAATTTTGGAAAACATAACAAAAGTTAAAAAGGTAAGAGTGATAATAGGATTGGAGTGTCAATAACCTAAACTTATATTAGAACTGGACTATATGTAAGATGCACTTTATATAAAAGGTCATAAATTTGAATCATAAATTTAATTTTCAATCTTCTTATTATTCCTTATAACTGTCAAATGTTTTTAAAACATTGAAATAATTAGTAAACATAATGCAATCACATGTTATATTATCTCCTAATATTTCATATATATTGTTCTCCATTAATAATGCTTATAATTTTAAATATTGATCTCAACATTTACAAATACATAACTCAATATATATATATATATATATATATATATATATATATATATATCCTATTCATTATATATATATAATTCTTAGTGTTTTATATTAGAACCTGCCTTATAATTCTATTGTGTCTTTCAAATAAATGAACTCTGCATATAAGCAAACATAAAAAAGTAACCCTATGTTCCTATCCAGTTGTCATAAATAAATAAATAATTTTGTTAACTGAAACTTATTTTTATTCATTGAGCATCAACTCCTTCCAATGGCTCTCAAACATAAAAGTATATATAGAATTTTCTTGACTTTTTCCACACATTATTCACGAGCAAATGGAAAAAAGGGAGAAAAATGACTACTTAAGATATCATAAAGCTTTAAGATATATATATATATATATATATATATATATATATATAGTTTTTGAAACGCATAACTAATGCGCGAACTAATAATCCTGACACCAATTTCCACCACAAAACTGATAAATTGGACAATCAGCATCGCCCAGACATGGTATTTGCTCTGTGATACAATTCAAAAATAAAAGATAATTAGCAAAAGGGTAAAGGACAGAAACTAGTATAGAGGATAAGAAATCTTACTCACCCATAGGCATAAGAATAAAGAGGGAAAAGAAGAGAACCATATTATAAAATAACTTGAAAGTTGTAGCCATATTTTCCTTTATTTGTATGTCATCCAAAAATTATTTTGTCGATTTTATAGTGCAAGGAAAATTCATTCTCTATTTACATTAAGTGAATTGATTTGTCAGGCTTATTTAATTTAAAACTACCTGAACTAATATTAAAATCATTAGTGTGTCTTTTGGATACATTAAATTGTTGTGTTTTCCCCTTTAACACACTTAATTTATCTCTTGATATAGTCAAGGGTCATACATAAAAATCTAGTTTATCATATATAACCTTTATTTCATTTTACTTGTCTTTCTTTCTTTTTCATTTGTGATACAAAGGAGCAAAAGCTTAACACTAAAGAAATGCATAAATATTTGCTAAGCTATTTGTAGGAATGATGTGCCAACTTATTCTATGCATAAATAGAAAGCGTGTGTAGGATCCAAGTTAATTTAAAACAAATATGGGGATGGGTGATTAATTTGCCATTTGCTTTCATGTTTGTTTATTGATTTTTATTGGTGAACTTTTATTAGAAAGAGTAATATTTGGGATTAATTATATTTTCCATATATTTGATTTTAATTACTTCGTTTTTGTTGTAAAATTTAAGTTTTGCAAGCTATGTAAATTATATAAGATTTTTATAAACAAAGTGGTCTAGGAAGAAAGGAAAAAAAAATTAAACTCTTGTTGTAGAAGTTGGAATCTCCTTTAACATTTATGAATAAAAATATTTTTAGAAGACTATATATGACTTATAGAATATACTCTTATCTACACTTTATGTAATAAGTTGTTAAAATGATCAATGCTCATGTGTTTGTTTTTAAGTCAGTTGTCTAAATTCTTATTTACACTTGAGGAGTCATATATGTATGTATATAAAACTTCTCATATAGTCTAAAATCTTTTGTCAACTAAAGAATTAGTTGACTTATTTGACTAAGTTTTTCACCATCTTATTATTGTTTATAACTTGCAATATCTTTTTTATATATTGAAAAAGTTGATAAACACAATTCCATCATTCTTTGTATTATCCCTCATTAATTAGTTCATAATGTTCTCCCTTAACAACACTCAAGATATTGATTGGAATTCAAGTTAAAAAAATTACTCTACATCTTAGTTATTTATTATATGAAATTGTAATTGTTCATGTGATTCAAATTAGTTGATAGATCTGAACAATTATATTTTCATATAATGAATTTCTAAAATGTGTAGTGTTTTTTTTTAAGTTTATTCATTATAAAATTCTTAGTTTTTTAAATGGCGAAGTACCTTATAGTTCAATGGTGTCTTAGAATAAATGAACACTACATATGAGCAAACATAAAAATAATATCCTCATATCGTTTTGTCATATTTAAATAAATAATCTTGTTAACTCAATCGTATTTGTATTCATTAAGCATCAACTCCTTCCAAAGACTCTCAAACATAAAGCATCTTTAGAAATTTCTTTACTTTTCCACTCATTATTCACGAGAAAATGGAAAATAGAAAAACAAAATCATTATTTTAGAAATGTTACTCATTATTTGAAGTAGCTAATTAAGATTAGTTAGTAAGACTATTGTTGTTAATATATCTCTAAGACGTGAACAAAATTCAAATCACTTATATATTATAATCCAATGCTCTTTTGAGGCAATTACATAAATAAATAATAGATCAAAGGATAATAAGTAAAACAATGAGAGATATGTTACGGCTTTTAAGACATGTATATAGAGTAAGAAAGAGTGTAGTGTTATCAAAAACCAAAGTAGCATTATGTGATACTTTATATTTTTATTTATAATGGGATGACAATTTTTCCATTGAAATTAAAAACAAAAAAAATAAAAACTCTCGTATTCGATGCTAGAGAGTATATATATTTATATATTATTATTATTATATTATATTATATTATATGGAAACACTTTACTGTCATACAAACTAATAATATTGACTACAAAAATTATGACGACAATACTTGTGATGATCCGGACAATCTTCATCTGTTATACAAGGTATTCTTCCTGTGACACAATTAAGAAAAATAGATTATTAACAAAAGTTTAATGCACAAAAACTATTATGGAGGATAAGACATGTTACTCACCCATGTGGAGGAGAATAAAGGTGGAAAAGAAGATAACCATATCATAAAATAACTTGAGAGTTTTAGCCATATTTTCCTACATCTATATGGCATCCAAAAATTGTTTCATAGATTTATAGTGCAAAGAAAAGTCAATCTCCATTTACCTTAAGTTTAAGTGAATTGATTTGTAGGAGTTATTGAGTTTTAAGCTACCCCTTCTAATATTAAAAACATTATTGTATGCCTTATGGATACATTAAAATTTTGTATTTGTTCCTTTAACACACTCAAATTATCTCTGGATTCCATCAAGGGCCACACAAAGAATCTATCTTATCATATATAACCTTT